AGGATCGCTGGAACTCAGTAGGTCGAGGCTGCGGTGGCCGGGAGCGGCCACTGCACTCCAGTCTGGGTGACAGAGTGAGACTCCAACTCAAAAAAAAAAAAAAAAAGAAAAAAAGAAAGCACAGCTCCACTGTGTGCCTCACTGGGCTGGTTCTCCCTGGTTCCAGGGTCAAGTCAGGAGGCATAAAGAACCTGTCCTTTCAGTCATTCCATTTGTGTGTTTGTGTGTGTGTGTGTGTGTGTGTGTGTAAGAACCTAATTCCCTGAATTAAATCCCTTCTAGTGGTACCTTACATTTTTCAAAGCCCAACTCAAGTATCTCTTCCTTTTAGAAACCTTCCCGAGTCTCCTAGAAAACATAGTTTCCTCTCTGGCTTTCAGCACTTTATACCATTTTTTCAGTAATAACCACAATAGTTATCTGTAATCATGACCTTTCATAGTTACAAAATCATAAAGTTACTTCAAAACAGGATCTATTCTTGCCCCTTAGTTGCACCCTAGACCTAGCAATATTCCTTGAACACAGCAAGGGTTCAAATAGATATTTATGAAATCCCTTGAATTGGAATTTGGCTTAAAAAGATTTAAGATCTAATACTAAGAAAGGCAGAACTTTGAATTGAAGAAAACATAGCCTGGCAAAATGGCAGAAACACATGGGCAGAGCAAGTAGAGAAAAGAAACAACCAGTCCTTCAATTAAAAAAAAAAATTCTCAACTAGGATGTAAAGTTTCAAATTTCCACCATATCTATAGATTTATTTCTTTTCATTAATTAAGACTTGTTTGTTGCCAAAATGCAAAGATTCAGGGTTTAGGAAGAAATTAATACTTTGCAAGAATAGCTGAAATAAAAATATCTACCATTAACTGAAACCTCCTATTTATCAGATTGTCTTAGTGTGTTTTGTGTTGCTATAACAGAATTACTACAGACTGCATAATTTATAAAGTACAGCAATTATTTCACATATCTTTTTTTTATTATAAAAATGTAGGGTACAATTCAGGGTTAGGTATACAAACAATTATGCAGGTACCCTTGTTGATGAGGAGTGCCCCTCCCTCCCCTAGCAGTTTCCCTCAACTGCCAATCCCACCCCACCTCCCCCTGACAGTTTCCCACTACTGCCAATCCCTTTCCTTTTTTTTTTTTTTTTTTGAGTTGGACTCTCAGTCTGTCACCCAGACTGGAGCGCAGTGGCTGCTCCCGGCCACCGCAGCCTTGCCCTGCTGGGCTCCGGCGATCCTTCCGCCTCAGCCTTCCAAGTAGCTGGAACTACAGGCGCGCGCTACCACGCCCAGCTGATTTTGATTTAGTGTAGAGATGAGGTCTCCCCAAGTTGCCCAGGCGGGTCTCAAACCCGTGGGCTCAGGCAATCCACTCACCTCAGCCTCCCAAAGGTGCGAGATTACAGGCTGAGCCACCGAGCCCGGCTTGCCAATCCCTTTCTTATAGTATTATAATAATTGTTCAAGGTCCGCTTATGAGTGAAAACATATAGTACTCTGTTCTTTGTTTCTGTGATAGATCACTGAGTATGATCAACTTTAAATTCATCCAAGTTATTTCACACATTTCTATAAACTAAAAAGTCCATTACTGGCCAAGCACAGTGGCTCATGACTGTAATCCCAGCACTTTGGGAGGCGGAGGTGAGAGGACTGCCTGAACCCAGGGGTTTGAGACCAGCCCAGGCAACTTGGCGAGACCTCATCTCTGCAATGAAACAAAAAGTTAGCTGGGCGTGGTGGTGCATGCCTGTAGTTCCAGCTACTTGGAAGGCTGAAGTGGAAAGATTGCCTGAACCCAGCAGGTCAAGTCTGCAGTAGCTATGGATGTGCCACAGCACTCCAGCTTGGGCGACAGAGTGAGACTTGGACTAAAAAAAAAAAAAAAAAAAAAAAAAAAAAGAACTCTGTTATCAGGATGCTGGCACCTGGTGAGGGCCTTTTTGCTGTATCATCGCATGGTGAAGGCAAACTGGTGAGTGAGGGCAAGAGATTAAACTCACAACCTCAAGTCCTACTTTTTTTTTTTTTTTAAAGAGACTTGGCTGTCACCCAGGCTGGAGTGCAGTGGATGATAGCTTACTGCATTCTTGAACTCCTGAGCTCAAACAATCCTCCCACCTTGGTCTCCCAAGTAGTTGGGACTATAGGCACATACCACCATGATCAACTAATTAAGTTTTTTTCTTTTTTCTTTTTTTTTGAGTTGGAGTCTCACTCTGTCACCCAGACTGGAGTGCAGTGGCCGCTCCCAGCCCCCGCAGCCTCGACCTGCTGGGCTCTGGCGATACTTCCGCCTCAGCCTTCTGAGTAGCCGGAATTACAGGCATGCGCTACCACACCCGGCTGATTTTTTGATTTATTGTAGAGATGAGGTCTCGCCTGCCCAGGAGGGTCTTGAACCTGCAGGCTCAGGCTATCCACTCACCTCAGCCTCCCAAAGGCGCGGGATTACAGGCTGAGCCACCGAGTTTGGCTAAATTTTTTTCTTTTTTGTAGAGACAGACTCTTGCTTTGTGATAACCCATTAACTCATTACAGTGATTCATGAATGAAGAAATCCATTCACATGGACAGAACCTCATGATCCAATCAGTTCTTCAAGGCTCCACCTGTTGGCCGGGTATGGCGTCTCATACCTGTAATCCCAGCATTTTAGGCAGCTGAGTGGGAGAATTGCTTGAGCCTGGGAATTTGAGACCAGCTTAGACAACAGGGTGAGACCTCATTTCTACCAAAAAAAAATTAAAAAATTAGCCAGGTATGGCGGTATGCACCTGTAGTCCTAGTTATTAAAGAGGCTGAGGCGGAAGGATTGCCTGAACCCAGGAGGTTGAGGTTGAGACAACCTGTGATCATGTCACCGCACTCGAGCCTGGGAAACAGAGAGAGACCCTGACTCAAAAAAAGAAAACAGTCGCAATAAAAAAAATTCATCTTTCAATATAGCCACATTGGGGATTAAGTTTCAATGTGTGTTTTGGAGGGGACATTAAATCATGGCAATATGAAAACAATATTCAACTCTAAGAGATATGATCAAGACTATAGCTGGGAGGAGCAGGCTAAATTTGCTAAATACTTTGGAATTATTTGTCTGTTTCCAGCTATGACCTCAACTTCCTCAACTCTATTTCATGGCAAGCACTTTAGAGAAAGTCCTAAACTGAGGTTTTCCTCTGCTCTCACCCAATAATCATCAACACAGAAGCTTCTTGGTGGTTATTCTTCACCACCAAGCAGCTGACACCAGCTGGGTGTCCTCCAATTCAATTCCAACACCGTCTATCTGAAGATAGTGTCAGATATCACAGGGTGAGGACTCAGTCCCATAAGACTGCCCTCCTCCCCCAGATACCAGTTGCAAGTTTGGGCCTCTGGAACTTCTGACTGGCTTCAAGCTGGGGATCCCATGACTCCCTCTTTGGGTTCGATTAGTTTGTGAGAGTGGCTCACAGAACTCAGGGAAATACTTAACGTTTATGGGTTTGTTATAAAGGACATTGCAAGGGATACAGATGAACAACAGAGCTTCCATGCCCTTCCTGGGTGCCACCCTCTGGGAACCTCCACTGTGTCCAGCTATCTAGTTCTCTGAACTCAGTTCTCTTGGACTTTTATGAAAGCTTCATGATGTCAGCATTCTTTTCCCCAACGCATAGGGCAGGACCCTCTCTGGGGAGGATCTTAAAACCCACAATCAGAAAGGTAGGGGAGGATCAGAGTCCTGCCTTGAGGCAGGTGAAAGGAGGGCTGGAAAAGGTCTGAGAAATTCTGTTTCCTGAGGCCTAACACATCCAATATGATAAGAAAAGACTGTAATGAGGGCTATAGGAGTAGTGAACCAAGAATGATGGGTGAAAACCAATATATATCATAATACCACAATAAAAATATAAGACATTTGCATCCACATTCTTTTTTATTTATTTTTAAATTATTATTATTTTTTTGAGTTGGCGTATCACTCTATAGACCAGGCGGGAGTGCAGTGGCACGCTCACAGCCACTGCAGCCTTGACCTGCTGGGCTCAGGCAATCCTTCTGCCTCAGCCTTCCAAGTAGCCAGAACTACAGGTGTGTGCCACCATGCCCAGCTAATTTTTTTTGATTTATTGTAGAGACAAAGTCTCGCCAAGTTGCCCAGACTGATCTCAAACCTGTGGACTCAGGCAATTCTCTTGCTTCCACCTCCCAAAATGCTGGGGTTACAGGCGTGAGTCACCACGTCCAGCTACACATTCTTTAAAAAAAAAAATTTCAATAGATTTAGGAGGCACAAAAGGTTTTTGGTTACATGGATACATTGTATAGTGGTGAAAAAGTCTGGGCTTTAAGAGTACCCTTCACTCCCACCTGTGCACATTGTACCTGACAGGTGACTTTTCATCCCTCCACCCCTTCCCACTCTCCCCCTACTGAATCTCCAGTGTACATTATACCATTCTATATGTTTTTACAGAGCTTTAGTTTAGCTCCCACTTATAAGTGAGAACGTGCGGTGTTTGGTTTTCTGTTCCTGTGCTAGTTCACTTAGGATCATGTTCTCCAATTCCATTCAAGTTGATGCATCCAGATTTTTATTATACTTTATTTTTTTCTAGGCTGAAGTGCAGTGGCATGCAATCATAGCTGTAGGCAGCCTTAAACTCCTGATCCTCCCATCTCAGCTTCCCAAAGCACTGGGATTACAGTATGAGACACAGTGCCTGGCCCAAGTTCTTTTCTTTTTTTTTTGAGTCACTCTGTCTCACTCTGTCACCCAGACTGGAGTGCAGTATCACATTCACGGCCACCACAACCTTGACCTGCTGGGCTCAGGCAATATTTCCACCTCAGCCTTTCAAGTAGCTGGAACCACAGGTGCATGCCACCACATCTGGCTAATTTCTTAATTTATTGTAGAGACGAGGTCTCATCTAGTTGCCCAGGCTGGTCTTGAACCTGTGAGTTCAGGCAGTCCTTTCACTTCTGCCTCCCAAAGTGCTGGGATTACAGGTGTGAACCACTGTGCCCAGCCCCAAGTTCTTACTTTTAGTAGAAAAGTAAGAAGTTACAGCTCAGTGCACCATGAAGTAGAGACAGGATGGAGACATCCCAGCTCCACCTTTCTGGAATAAGAAAGATGATCGGGGAAGGAAGACAGATGAGGGGGTCAATGTGGACATGGTAGTATCTGTTCTTACACCCTCGCATTCAGGAAGAGAAGTGAGTCAATGTTCTTCAAGTCAGAAAGGGCATGTGCGAACAAATCTTGCATCACTCAGTCCTACACAAGGCAGCTGTCCATGCTGTAGGATAAAATAATCAGGAACAAATTCAGGACTGTAATTGCAAGTTACACTCTCAACAGCCCACTTCTAGTTTAAAATGTGCACTACAGAATGAGTGTAACAGAGTCATGACCACTTTACTTCTAATCCCCTGCAAGCCCCCTAGGGTCTCACCTTTACAAGTCTTGAGACATACATCAGAGTCCTGAGCACTGTCACTTCCTGGGGTAAAACAAAAACAGGACCTGATCAGAGCCTATGAGGAATTGGGTGTGAGAGCTCCCCCATGGGCTCCTGACCATTATTCCAAGGGTCTCAGAGATCAGCCCCCTTCATACTTACTTACACCCTGAGAATAGCTCCCTCCTTTTCTCTCTGTGGGAAGAAAATGTCCTGTGAGAGGCCAGAGAGAAGGCAGGACCATGAGGTCCTAGAGGAACTCCCCAGTAGTAGTAGACTCTAGAGAAGTTTCTAGAGCTGTGACTGTAGACCCAGTGCAGGATCAAGAACAGTAAAGGAAACGTGTAAGAGCTAGACCAACTGCCCTCCTAAAGACCTGTCTTCAGCAGGGAACTTCCTCTGTGATCTGTGACAAATGGGAATCAAGTCCCCATCACCACATTCACCTAAGTGAAAAATGTGTCCTTCATTTTCACATGTGCTTCACAAAAGGCAGAGCCCCAGGCTGGGTAGGCACATGTGTGTGGATGGTACTTCCTAGTAACGAGGCAGGACACGTGACTGTTTGCGGAGAGAAACTGCCAGTGGTACAAGAAAACCCAGGCCCTAACCCAACCCCTCCCTACCTGAGCTCTTCTTCTTCCACATCACAGCTGCAGTGATCACAGCTCCAAGGAGAACCAGGCCAGCAAGGATTCCCATGATGAAGATGGTGTTCTGGGAAGATGGCTCTGGGAAATGAAGGGAAGGGGAGGGACCCTGACGCCCCAGGCCTCAGCCCTGACCCTGCTGAGGGTCTCCAGAAGGCCTCCTGCTTTCCCTGAGAAGAGACTTGACCTCTCATCCCCCTCCTTACCCCATCTCAGGGTGCGGGGCTCTGGCAGCCCCTCATGCTGCACATGGCACGCGTATCTCTGCTTCTCTCCAGAAGGCACCACCACAGCAGCCCACTTCTGGAAGGTTCCGTCCCCTGAAGGCCTGGTCTCCACAAGCTCCATGTCCTGAGTTTGGTCCTCCCCATCCCGCTGCCAAGTCAGTGTAATCTCCGCAGGGTAGAAGCCCAGGGCCCAGCACCTCAGTGTGGCCTTGTGGTCAGAAACAGGGTGGTGGGTTATGTGTGTCTTTGGAGGGCCTGGGAACGATTGGAAAATGAATAACCTTTTGCAGCCTTCATGGGAGACTCCAGTAGCACTCATCTGACCATTACGAGAATGAGTGAATTAGGATGGGAGAGGAAAAAATACCTAGACAACCAGATTGGACTCAGTGTTCTGGGATAACCTCCTATTCCTTGGAAGGTTCCAGAATTGGGGTGAGATAGCTCAGGGTAGGAGGTTCTAGGTCTCTGAGAAGGAGAAAAAGGATTTCTGGTCCTGACCTGAGTGGAGGCTGAGTGAGAAAAGCTGGAGTCACACCCTCGAAGACGCTAGGTGTAGGGCAGAGAACAGGGCCTGAGAAAAACTCCCCCATGATTCTCAATGCTGCTGCCGGAGTCAAAGAGGGTGGCATCTCTAGAGAGACTGTATTCCTTAAATGCCCTTGAGAGAAGGGAGGGCCCTTTGAGTGAATCAGTCTTTGGTACAAGATTTCCCATACTCAGGAGGATTCCTCCCTCTCTCTATCCTAGGGAGGAGCAGTATTCTGGCCAGGATATTATTTTTCTCTACTTCTTGAGGGCTGTCAGCTGTGAGCACAGCACAAGCCGGAGGGAAGACTGGGGAGTTGCCCAGTGGCCCCTCTCACCCGCGCGCTGCAGCGTCTCCTTCCCGTTCTCCAAGTATCTGTGCAGCCACTCCACACACCGGCCCTCCAGGTAGGCCCTGCTTTCCTCTGCTTCACCGGTCGCCTCTGACTTGTGCTTCGAGATCTGAGCCGCCGTGTCTGCCGCGGTCCAGGAGCGCAGGTCCTCGTTCAGAGCGAGGTAATCGGCGCCATCGTAGGCGTACTGTTCATACCCGCGGAGGAGGCGCCCGTCCGGCCCCACGTGGCAGCCAGATAGCCTCTGGAGGGTGTGAGACCCTGGCCCCGCCCCCGCGGTCAGCCCCGCCCACTTTGCCCCGCCCCGGCCCTGACCATCCCTCGGGGATTTTGGTTTAAATCGAAAGTGAAACCTAAGCGAACCCCGCGGGCTCTTCCCGGGCCGTCTCTCTCCCCTCGGGAGGCCTGGGCCGTCTGCGGGGAACGGGGAGGGATCGTGACCTGTGACCCGGGTCTGGCGTCACTTACCGGCCTCGCTCTGGTTGTAGTAGCCACGGAGGGTCCGCAGATTCACTCGGAAAGTCTGCGCGGTGTCCTTGGCCCTCCGCGTCTCCCGGTCCCAGTACTCCTTGCCCTCCTGCTCCACCCACGGCGCCCGCGGTTCGGCCCTCCGACTCGCCGCGTCGCTGTCGAACCGCACGAACTGCGTGTCGTCCACGTAGCCGACGGCGATGAAGCGGGGCTCCCCGCGGTCCCCCCGGGACACAGAGGTGTAGAAATACATCAGGGAGTGGGAGCCTAGGGTCGAGGAGGGGCTAAGACCCGGCCCGACCCGCCTCCCCGCGCGGATCCCCGGGTCCGAGGTTGATGCGCGGGAGGGGAGGGGGCGGGAGGGTCGTGAA